AACCTCTCTTCATTGCATGTATGATTTTTTCTTTATTGTTTGGTATTGTGGTTTGTTGAATGATTTTGTGGAAAATAGTTGTTATATTTTTACTCATTTGTTTTGCATGGAACTCTTATGATATGATTAAACACTATATGGCTTTTACCCGTGTAATATTATTGGTTTTAAGATATTTTATGTCTATTAGTATATTAACTGTAGTGGATATTGGTTGTTTTTACTATGTGATATATAGAGAGTTTAGTGTATTTTGTATAATTATTATCAAAATCAGAGATATTATGGAATCTAAAAAACATATGTCTTATGTTACTGAATATGAAAAAAACACACCCATAGTGAAAAAAAGAAAATGAAAAGGACGTGGTAAACTAATTAAAGCGATTGGGATGAAAATTCATGTCGAGCTCAATCAAAATGGGCAGCTTGTGTTGAATGGAGCTGCTAAGTTGGCTAGTCACATTGGAGCATTTGTCCAGTATAGTATTTTTATTACGTACCATAATTGGCAGACTGTTCTTGATGATAAAAATGATAGTAGATAAGGGTCGATTGTGATATGTTTATTGAAAAATATCCAAATATTTGTTCATTTGGAAATTGAATTGAATATTTTGTTCATTCTAATTGTTTTTAATTTATTAGGAATAGTTTGCGTCACAGATAAGTATAAAAAGCTTGTGTTGCAATCAGCTGAAAAAGCATTCAGAGATTTTAAAAGCATATCGACAACCTAATATATTTTACCATTCACTGATAACTCTGATTTATTAACTGATCCTCCATCATCATATACAGATATTATTAGTTATGAAGAGTGGATGCAGTTTGTTCGAGATTGTTTATCAGATGAATTCTTGATACGTATACCCAGTTTGCTAATTGTTTATAATATTTTGTGTAATATATTTGGTATCTTATTATGTGATTTACCTTATTTCTTTTTTCTAGAAAATTATAGAACAACAAAAGAACATTCGAGCCAAACAAGATATCACCATCTTACATCAAGAAAGGATTATGCAAATGTTAAGCATAATCTTGTAAGTATTACATGCTTGTTTTATACTCATATGTGAATATTGACAAACATGTGAACATGGATTCTGATTTTTATATCACCTTAATTTTTTAGGAATTATCTAGCTTTGGAATTGAAGTTTCTAGACAGGATGTGTGAAAAAAAGGACATATGCAAAAAGATGGATCATTCACAGATGAAGAAACTGGAGATATGGCTAAAAAGATCATAAGTATAATTAATCAATTTATCACGTATGATATGTTTATGCTTGTATGCATGACTATATAGTATATAACTTTTTTGTTACACAACAACTTTTTGTGTTTTATGATGAATTTGCTACTAAATTTGAATCCGATGAACTGCCAACCAGTTATGGTGAAGATCCCTTGTCTTTAGCATTAGGATCTAAAGAAAGACATGGTTGAATTCGAGGGGTTCGTAGATTTGTGTTGCCATCAAAGTTCTTTAGTAATCAACCCAAACCCCTTCTAATGAAAAGTACTAAATATGACGCAATCATTCAGCAATAATGTTAATGACTTCATGAGCAAAAGCAACACCTGAATGATCAATAGTAATGACTCACAGCTTTGGAGGCAATATTGGCAACAATACAACCTAATATGCTAGTTGGTAGCAATGCAACCTAACAAGCCTTGAGGGCAGTCTATTACCAACATCCAGTAGGGAAATGCTTTACAATCAAGTTTGGTAGCAAACCCACACTCCGGTAATAATCATTCTTATCATTTTGTTTATTCATTCAATATTTATTTGTATTTTATAATTTTTTGATTTGGTGATTTGGTTTTAATACCTATATTTCATTATATCACAAATCAAGATGTTAGGACTCAAACGATGACCCCTACAGAGGTTGCCATTAAAGCGTTATCTAATTATGACTTGATCATTTATCCGGAGGAAACATCATTACCATCAAGTCCGAGTACAGGTTATTTGATCATCCATCCATTTTTTACATTGAGGGGCCTGAGATTGAGGCATTTTGTACCCTAGATGAGATATAAGCTTCTAATATTGTTGCCTATATAAGGTTAGCTTACCAATTAATTTAAATACTCAAAGTCAATATCAATTATTCTATATTATGGTGTATTGCTAACTGGTACTATTAATTGTTATCGTGCAAGCTCTTATACAGAAAGATCAAGGGGAGACAAATTACCTATAGATTTAGATTCGTTGACCTAAATGTTATTAGTTAAGAGAGTGGCACTATCATTATTCATCGTCATTATGTGGGTCAATGCATGTAAAAATGAGCCGATTATTTTTTGGTGCCTTATAATGCTGCATAAGTTCTATTCGTACTACTAAAATTGTATCATTTATGAAATCTAATATCATGCCTAATATTTGTATATCCTACCTATAATTTTGCAGGCGTCATTTGCAGCTTATTGTAATTTATACCAATTCCTGGATGTCATTCTTATTTAACTCCGTTCAACCAATGGCAATGCTTAAACCTAATATTAATAATTTGATAAACAAGTATTACATGTTTAATAAGTGATAATTAAATTATATTGTGTTTCTTCATAATTACTTTTATTTCCTTTACTATTTTTTTCTGTTCAATTTAGGGAAATGGCTACAATTGATAACAAATAGAAAGATCAATTGGGTGTCATTACCAATATGTGTGAACTATATTCTTTTATTCTGAGTTTGTTTAGATAAATGTTTACCAACCCACTCAATTTTATTTTTCAGATACCTCATCAACTAGGAGTTACCGAATGTGAATATTATGTTCTTCGTTTTATGAGAGAGATAGTTTTATGTGATTTTATGATCACACCATTCAAGGCTAGTATTAATTTCATATAATAATAACATATTTCAATCAAAAAACCTAAAGTTTGTGTATGTGTATAGAAATGCCTTAAATGATCATCAATTGATAACAAATTAAGGGGTTTTTCTATACAAATGCCTTAATCGTTTGTTTATACATTGACTGAAAATAATACATGTTATAACACTACTTATGATAACAAAAATAAGATTTATTTTAAATTATCAATTAAGGTGTTTCAATGAAAAAAACGTCTTAATTGACGCTAAGGATTATTTAAGGCGGTTTAAGAACCAAACACCATAATTGATGATCATTTAAGGTGACAGAAAAGCCTTAAATGATCATCAATTATGAGGTTTCTTAAACCCAAGCACATTAAATAATTCATGTCATAACGTTATCTAGGAGAACAAAAAGAAAAAAAAAAAGATTTGTTTTAAATTATCAATTAAAGCATTTCAATGAAAAAAATGCCTTAATTGATACCATTGATTATTTAAGGCGTTTTTTCATGTCAAACCCCTTAATTGCAATATAAATTTTTTTATACAAAAACCTATAATTGAGTTTTAGTCACTTCCAAACATGTTTTTCAAAAGGATAACATCTATTTCATCATTTTTTAAGTTAAATTTAAAAATAAGGTAACTTTTTACCTTCAGAATCCTAGAATATCATAGGAAAATATGAGTTTTTTATTTCGAAACTTTGGGTACTATTGAAAATATGATATTTTTCCTCACAATTAAATTACTTTGAACTAAGCCTAAGAATCAAATATTTACCGTCAAGATTCTAGAGAAAAATTTATAGATTTTTTCAAACCAAACGCACTCTAAAAATTAATGACACAAATGGAAATGAAAAGGTAAGAGAATATTTACAAGAAATGTTAAAGTCCGACGTATCATAGACTAAAATATATACGTTTGATTGTTGAGTAGGTGTAAAAATAGAGAAATAAAATGTTAGTATGGACAAATGGAAAAAATATATGATGATAAAATTAACCGAATTAAATTGTAGAATTACTCTTACTTTAAAAGGACCTGTTTATCAGTTCTTTATCTTTTCAAAATTGGTGCATAGTGATTTCGGGATTTTTTTTGCTTAGTTGTTTTATGACCGTTTTGGTCTCTGATCAAACTTTCGGTGAAAAACCGTTACAAAGGTCGAGCAGAATCAATGCTATTCACCGTTTAAAAACTGATGAAACTGGAGGAAAAGCATTAAAAGAATGGGAAAGAAAACGTCGAAGGAAGATGACTGTAACAGTAGGCGGGCAATTGAGCTAAGGAATCAAGGAGCTAAGCTAAGCAAGAGAATTGCGCTGAAAGAGAAGGAACATAGCAAGAACTGGAGCTGGGGACTGGTAGACCAAGAGCTGACTGTGGAGATACAGACAAGGAAGGTGGTGCAACCATTTTTGCCGCAGGTGGTTACTAATCCATTTCCATGAAATTTTGTATTGTTAGCTGTCACAAATTCTGTTATGGCAGCTGTCAATTCATTGTGTCGATTTTAGCAATGTTTAGTACATTTGCTAGCTGAATTATAGTTCAAGTAGGGAATATATATATATATATTAAAACAGAAAAGTTGTAAACTAGAGGTTATGAATGAAAATTTACAATTTTTCTGCTTTCAACCCCCTGATCTACCTTCTAGCATTTCCTTCAATCTTCTCTTTCTTTTCAACGCACTCTTGACTACATCACGTCAAAGCCAATCTGTGACAAAAACCTTGCTTTTAACAATGGAATAAGAGGAGATTTTCTGGCAAGGGGAGATTTTCTCCGGTAAAAAATAAATTTTTATACGGAGGAAAATTTTCACGCTACTTTTTCTAGATAGACGGACAAACCATTGTATTATCTTAATTAAAATACACCTTTTCATCCTGTTAGTAGAAATTAATCAGAATTTAATTCACAATTAAATCAGCACTAAAAACCATAATCTTTATCTTTGAAAGACTTGATTAAAGCTGAGTCTCATAGGTAAATTACCTTGAAGAGTCCAGCATCTACCACTCGCGAAACCATCCTCCTAATCTCTTAAACCGCCCCAAAAGATTGAGAGATCAAACCACAGCCACAAGTGACGACAGGCATTTTCTTTCTATGCCTTAAAACAGCATTGTAATTTCTAACTTTTCACGCATAATATCATGTATATTATCCTGACGATATTACTGTTACATAAAATGACAACAAAAAAAAATGAAAAATGAAAAGCTAGCTTAAAGCGTGCACCATGTTTGCTCTAGATTTTTGTGGAGGGAAATCGACAAGCATGTAAAGGCATAATAATAACAGATATAAAGGGTCAAAAAAAAAATTAGTTGAACAAAATAAGGAAACGACACTGAAAGAAAAACCCTAAACCCAACCTCCTAAAGAAAAACCAGAAAGGAGCCTACCCACTATAGAGAGTAGTAGAAAGAGACCCATCATAATCTGCCTTTTGGATTCAGAGAAACCTACACTGCCCCGCCATAAATTATTCACTTCATACCACCCAAGACAGAGATCCACTTCCCCGACGGTCCACAGTTCTGTAATCTATTCTAAAGCAGGAAATTCAGTTTATACTCATCTTATTCTACAAGACCACAAACCACAGCAACGGGATTGGCAGAAGCTAGCAACCGTTTGCAATCCCATTTGATAAAACCCTCTTCTCTGACACAAGAACTGGCTTAGCACCCTTTGAGGCATCTCCAGATTTTGCCGCTGAACCATTCTCCGAAAGCTTTAGATCCCCATTGGACTGAGCAGCTAAACTAGGTTCCTCGATCAAATCTGATGCAACTTCCATATACTTCTGTGAACCATTTGCTACATCTTTCTTCTCATCTAAAGGCTTTCCTTCACATACCTGCAATTTGAGAAACCAAAAGCATTCAAAACAGATCAACTTTATGGATGACAAGCACAATACTTTCTAGAAGTAAAATTTTGATCAAAAGCAAGATTCGGTTGTGATGTCAGTGGTAATGCTAAATATGTCTTGCCTGCTTTTGCAACTGCTGTTGCTGCTGTTTAGCCTTTTTCTCCTGAATTGCCTTCTGGCGAACCTCATAAAATTCAAAATCATCTAAAATGCAAGTTTTGCTGGAATGCTCTTTGAAGATTTTGATCAACTTAAGCCCTTGCTCAAGCTTTATCTGCGCAGACCAAAAGGAGATTACCTTAGAGTGGGGAAAAACAAGCAAGAAAAAAGAGTTGAAACGGCTTTAGGAACAAAGAATACCTCTTGTGTATCCCTGCTCTTTGTGACAGGTTTATTCTCATTGTTCTCTAGGGTAATGTGCTTCAAAGAATTGTTAGGTACATCCTTAATAATATGCCAATTTACTGGGAAACAGCCAGTCCACTTGTCTTGTTGCCAGAACTCCACATTCTTCTGAAAATCAACAGGCCCTAGCATCTCAGCAAGGCCAACAAATTGCCCACTTGCATTAACCTATTAAAAGTTCAAAAATTCAAAGAAGCACAACAAAAACTAGGGACAAATAACCCTAATAAACAACTTGCAACGAGACACGAACCGAGAAGAAAAGATAAATAGGGCAGCAACCAGATTTCTGCTGAGACTCCTGGTAAGCTGCATCAAGCTTTTTGTTACCATTTGGTGTGCTAGCCCAAACATTGTACTTAATGCTTTTATGAACATCATCCTCACTGTATGATTTAATAACAAAGAACTTGGCATCGGCATAATCCACAGGGAATTCTTCTCGGTTATACTGTTCACAGTCTGGAGCAACATACGCCTTTCCCCTCTCATCATTAGTTCCACTGGAGGGAATATTTTGCCCCTTGACAGCTGTTGTGAAAGGCGTTGCACTCTTTTGGTTCTTGGAACCCTTAGCCCTGGGTCCCCTGTTCAGTTCATTAAGACCGTCCATGTTATCATTGCCAGAACCAAAGTAACCATTGCTTCGTCCCCTTGGTTTATAGTTGTTGTCTGCCAACCAACCCCTTCCATTTGTTTGCAAATCATAACCATTAGATCCAAAGCCCATTCCAGATCTGAATGTGTTTCCATGCTGGCCATATAGTTTGTTTGAGTACATCCTATTAATAAACCTCTGAGCTGTACCCATGCCGGATATTGCCCCAGGCTGGTGCAGTCCCTAGTGTACAATCATTAGAAGCAAAAACTCAGAAGAAGATAAGCACAAAAATTAAAAAAAAAAAAACTACGAAGATTCATGATTCCAAATACAAACAAGAAAATTAATTAGAAAAGCCAAATCATGCATACCATGCAATGAGAATTTGAACGGAAGTTTTGATTCCTTGATAATGGAATACTATTTGCTTTTGAAAATGAAGAGTTTATTCCAGTGCTAGCCACAGGTCTGTGTTGCCCATCTGAAAACATAGAGCCATCAAGCCACGGGATAGGAGACAGAAACCCATCAAAACCATATCTTGGATCCTGATATCCAGAGGTAGGAATACCTCCTAGAGGAGCTCCCCTTCCATAAGAACTATTAGAATTAAATGAGCTCTGGTATGATGATTTTATTGCACCTGGACCATTATTTCCCTTCATGCTACCCCCGTTAGCTACTCCATTGGAATTTGCATTAACTGTTTCAACAGGCAAGGGCTTTTGATCAGCAGCAGCAGAGGTCGAAAGCTCCCCTTGACATGGGGCAGCAGGGTTTGGGGTGAATGGGCCACTGGTCAGAGTCAGCGGGTGGAAGAAGGGAGGATACTGGTAGTGTTGAGGCCCATACAGCTGACCATCATTTCCCACAGTTGGAACTGGGGAAGTTGCAGGTGAATATGGTCCATACGGTGGATAACCATAACCATGATGATACATCAGAGACCCATTGTCCCTATAAACTCCCTGACAACACAATGCATACAAATTTACTAAAATTCATGAAATATATAGCAACTAATAACTACTTCCAGTACAACAAGAACATCAAAAAAGAAAAAACTCACTGAAGTCATGTCAACTCCATCTGGATTCACATATCTTGAATATTCATCCCACTCATTACCAGTGCCATCAATGCCTGCAAGGGACAATAAAAAGATAAATCCAATCCTAGCCCCATTCAAAATAACATATACATACAAAATGCAATGAGTTTCAGTTTAAAAACCCAGGAACAGTTTGTTTACTACCTCCATAGTAATAGGCAGATGGATAACTATTAGGAAGATAGCACATAGCTAGATCCATAAACTCAGGTAGCAAAGGTGTTGCAGATCTCTCAAAAGATGGAATTTGGGTATTTCCTGCATTGCCCAAATCAACAGAACCATACTGATAAACAGAAGGCTGCACAGAAAATAAACTAGGCATTTAGATAACCGTCAAATTTCTCGCCAGTGAGAAGAAACGCCTAATATGGATCCCTAATCTTTTCTACTTAATTTTTCTCCCGTGACTAAAACGTCCACATCACGTAGTATAGTTTTATCAATAATTACAATAAACGTAGGAAAGGGGCTACCTTTTTGATAGGCTCAGGAATATCCAAGGGCTTTGCTTGTGAGTCTAAAGACAATTTCTGCAAGAGCCCTGCTGTTTCTACAAGAAAGGAAAGTGTGAAGAAAATACAAACTTTCGGAATTTGGTAATAATCCCATCTATCAAATTCACAATTCAGAAATCGACCCAAACACCCTTTACAATTCAAAAGAGCAACAAAGAACAAATTAACAACAGAGCAAGCAATTCTTTACAACAAATTCAATCAATCAGATCAATAATAATAATAATAATAAAGAGCAATAAAGAACAAATAAACAACAGAGTAAGCAATTCCATACAACAAATTCAATCAATCAAATCAATAATAATAATAATAATAATGATGATGATAAATTACAGGAAATAACCAACAAAGATTTTTTTTAAAAATTGTTGAAAGAAGTTCAAAAACCATCTAAAGAAGAGAGAAGGAACACCCATCTGAAATTGAGAATATAAATCGTTAAAAGAGCAAATTTAATGAGCAAATGGATAAAACATGCATAAGCGGTGGATCGAAGAGCGTAAACCAGTACAGATCTACGTGAAAGCAATAATAATACCCCCAAAAGGGACATAATCGAATAATTGAGGATACGACCTGCAGAGGGAGCAACTGTGGCCGCCATCACTAGATCGAATGTCTAAACCCTAAATAACAATCCCAAAGCTCAGTTGTGGGTTTTAGACGGGGGAGAACAACGGGGCCAATTGATAGTCTCAGTCTCAGCCGCCACTAGACAGACAGAGAGAAACAAAAGAGCTTTGGGTTTAGGAAAAGAGAGAGAGTTTTGTCCAACCAAATACGGTGATTCAAATAGCACCACGGGGCTCTCCATCTTTCCTCTCTTTCTTGATTCTTCCCATCAGCACTACTCTATTCGTTGCGTTGCATCACTTTTTTTTTTTTTTTAATGTTTTCTACTTTTATTCTTTCTTTATTGGTGGGCAACTTCGCTTCGGTCAAGGCATGCTGGAGTACCTCATAATTTTAAATACGATAACGTGATAAATAATATAAATATATAAATAAGTTTTAAAATGATATTTGTTATACTAATTCATATAGATATGAATTTTAATATAATATTGTTCATATTTTATATATATTGATATGATTAAATATATATAAGATATTAAAAAATAATTTAAATAAGATATACGACATGAATATATATTTAACATATAATATGATATAAAAAATGCGTTTACTTAAGTTGTATCACATAAATATACGTTTAATATATTTTTATAAATATTTTATTTAATTTAAACGTATAAAGATTATTTTAATTTTTTATTTTTTTAATTATGATACCTAATTGCCTATTTAATATAATCATATAAAAATTATTTAAAATATTTAATTATAATACTCATTCAATAACTGATATGGAATTATTTTTAATATTAATAATATAAGTACAATATAAATAATAATATTAGTATGATAAGTTATTATTTAATAATTTATTCTTTAATTTTTAGTAACTCACTATTTTAGATTTATTAGTACTAAAAACAAATATAATTGTGCATACATTTGTGATTTTTATATTAATAACATACACATTAAATATATAGCAAAATGCATATTAAATGGGCATTAAATTTTTTATACTTTTAATATGCAAGTATTTTTTATATTAGTAATGTATATATTAGTTTACATACAAATTTTAATAAATTAAATATGTATTGTGTTTTGTAACTTTTTATAATAAAATTAAAAAATTATTTAAAAAAAGATCTAAGAAAGACAATATACATTTTTTTAAAAATTTCTAATTTACCCTTAAACTTGCTATTATATTACTTACTTGTATGAAAAGAACTTATGCACATAATTCTTTGAACCTGCAACCTCCAAGTATTAGCTTCAACGACATGTCAAATAATCTATTAATCAGTCGACGAGAAGGACAATATACACTTAATTGTTAATAATAAATAGCATCCAACATTATTGTCATTAGTAAGGTAATCCAAATCACATGAATATACAATAAAAGATTATACCCATAAATTAGTTAAAATAACATGTACAACGATTAAAAACTATATAATCATCTTAATATAAATCATGATAAGATATTATTTTAAATTATATGTAAAAGTCAAGATAAAATATTATACACTTGAAATTAAAAACAACATATATTCAAAATAATTGTAATTATTATTTTACTATTTTAAATACATATTATCAAATATTTTGTTAATTGAAGACATTATGTTTAATATATATTATGGATTATATTTGTGAATTATTTTAAAAAACACACAATTTTGATATTTATGAATTATTTTTCTATTTTTAATACATATATATTTATATATTATGGAGTATGGAATGAATTGAAGACATTATTATTTTGTTATGTAAGTTATTGTTTAATATATTTAGTGGAACATCACTTATGGAGGTTGAAGACTTATACTTGGAGTAGTGTAATTTAGACTATGTAAATGTGTAATAAGCTACTACTGTTTAGTGTTTAGTTTAGTTATTTAGTGTTTAGTCTTATATGGCTAACTATAACTTGTAAATGGATAGTTGTTTATTATTTTAGCCGTATTGTAACTTGTAAATGGACAATTGCTTATTATTTTAGCCATATTAGCTATGTTATCTGTGTATATCAATGTTAGTCGTGTCTATTTATGTTGTGTTGTGTTACTTATATCATGTTTAAATAGATTGATTATACACATATTAGTCAGGTCATATCTCGTATAATGTATATAATAAATATGTCGTATTTTTGTTTAAGATTTAAACACTTTTTATAAGCTATGTTGTATCCGTACTTTAATAATTCGTGTCATTACAAGTGATAGATATGACACAGATACACGAATTATCATGTTTAAAGTATTCCTAATTTTAATCTAATATCAAGTTATGTGCCTTTCAAGGAAAATGCTCGAAAATCAAATTTTAACGTGGTTGTTTTATACAGTATTGTTAAATGATGGTATCAGTAAATTTTGAGTTAAAATCCCATAATTTATAATTTTTTTTTCTTTTCATTATGATTTTTAATAGAAAAAAAAACTTAAAAACCATAATCAATAATATAAATCTTACTAATGTACAATTACACATGTCATACTATTAAATTTCTCTTTTTTATATTTAATAAATATTTTATTAGCATATTTTTTGTGTATGAAGGTCGTTATCATGTGTCAACCTTCTTTTCTATTTATATTTTTTTCCTTTTTAATATTTAAAAAAGATTTTTTTTAAAAAATTTTAAGTTCTTTATGTGGGATTCATTTAAAATTATTGATTAAAATATTTATTTATTTATTTTTTAAAATTAGATAGTTTTTTAAGAAAAAAGATGTTAACGAAAGTGTTGATGTAGCATCGAAATTTGTGTTTTTTTTTTTCAATTTTTCTTTTTAGTTTTAAGTTTTTCTTTTTTTTTACTTTTTTTAAAATTTCTTTTAGATCCATGATATAGTTCGTAAGAAAAGTTCATCATTATTAATGTCATCTAACAACTAACTTTTATTCTTTTATTTTTGGTTTTCATCCTTTTTTTTGTTTTTTTTATTTTGTTATTTTTAATTTGATCAATTTTTTTTTATAAAAAAGGCAACAGATGTGTCCACGTGGCAACTTATTTCACTTTTTACCTTTCATTTTTTTATTTTTGGTTTTTAATTAAATAAATATTACGAAAGAAATCGTGAAATATATTTTAAAAAAAGCAAATAGAGGTATAGATGAAAAAATAACTCACATATGATGAATTTTGATTCATTCGAATCTAGTAAGTGTATTTTTTTATAAAAGCCAATAGAGGTATAGATGAAAAAATAACTCACATATGATGAATTTTGATTCATTTGAATCTAGTAAGTGTATTTTTTATTATTTTTTTAAATCAAGATCAGTTGGATGTGAGTTTATGGTGTTTCATCAATTGGAAAATACTTTTTGGAATTGAAATAAAAGAATTTTAAAAAACAAAGCTTTGTTATTAGTAAATCTATCACCTAAGCCAATAAGCAAACTAAATTAAAAAAAAAAAAAGGAACTAAGAAACTACAAAGAGAATAGAAGAATGAGATAAGAGATGATGGAATAGGGTGAATGGCTTTTCTATTTATAATGAAGAATTTGGCCAAGGGGGATAAGTTTATAAGATGTTGATTCAAATTCAAATAATAATGGACTAAGGCTATCTTGATCTTTAAATAAGGCATTACTAAATGAGACTCATTTTTCTTGAGAATGCTTGCCCGAATGGGGTCTTAAGGATGCAATCTTAGCCTTTGATCAATGCTTGATGAAATCTTAATAAGTCTTTTCTTTGGATTAGGCTAAGATGATTTTCAAGAGCAAGGATTTGAATTTCATCCAACTCTTGAAGAAAGAAAGTCTTCTTCCAAGTAAAATTTTTCAAAGCTAAGCCAAAATGTCATGATCCTTTTGAAACTTCTCATTGGTTAAATGTATCTAGTCTCTATATTGATGAAAATTACATGAACTCCTTTTTAAATAGGGTCTTGGCTGAACATGATAAGGATTAGAGAGTCATTAAGCTTGCAAACTAAGCTTTATCTTTACATGGCTGAATGAATATAGTTCTTTTTAGATGAAAACACCTTTGGCCAATCATGCAAGAGTCCATGGTAGGTTCAAATATCACATGTGTGCTTGATCTCTTCTTAGAAATGAGCTAGCTGAATACATGTAGAGTCATTATGCAAGTAAAATTTCTTCATGGCTAAGTAAAAAAAAATCACTCTTAAAATAAATCTCTTTGGCCGAATACAAGGAAAAGTCCATGTACAAGTAAAAAAGTTTTTTGGTTGCATGGTTGAAAGGATTATACCAATGAGGTTCTACTAACCCTTGGTCTTACATGGCCACATATGCTTTTACATGTATGGATTGTATATTTTCCTCATCCATAAGCTTGAAACCCTAAAAATCACAAAATAAGCATTAAGGTACTAAAAATCAATGAAATTTTAAAATTTTGCATCCATTTTAATATACAAAATCATTATATAATTAAGTGTTATCATACTTCCACACTTAAATCTTTGCTTGTCATTAAGCAAAAACCTTAAATCAACAAAACTAAAAATCGTTATACATACTCACAAAGTCAAAAATTACATAAAATTCCTATCATGCACTATTACATAATACAAAGCTGAGTATAAACATGGAGTTACAATAAATTTCTTCCTAAACAAGCTCTCAATATCTTATGCTCTTTACACATATATATCTATTCAATCTTTAATTCTTGCATATAACTCAAGTAAAAAGAATGCAAAACACTTCATCACATTTCAATTCAAAGATAGAATAAACTTTATATGTTCATTTTCCCTTACCTCTCCATTAATATTAGATTTACTACTTGACTCAAGATCAAAAGGTGTTTTAGGCTTATAATGTAAAGCTTAGGTCAAGGTAAGAAAAAGAAAAATTTTAGGCTCAAAACCCTACATTTACTTTCTTTGAATTTCTTGGACTTTGAATAATTAAGAGCTCTTTTAAAACTTTGACTCTGAGGCATCAATTTATTCATTATACACGGTATATATATATTTTTAAAAAATATAGCCATATTTTGGTTTTATTAGGCTTTACCTTTGTTTTTGCCCTTTTTTTCTTTCATTTCATTTCTTGTGCCTCTATTCCTCTTAAATACATAGAGATATCTATAACACACAAGTAAATATTATTGCAAGAGGTAATCAAAAGAAATGATAATAATAAACAAAAAGGCTTATTAGCTTATTATGTGGCTAAATAAACAAGAAAAATGAAATAATATAATAGGTTCAAAATATAAGTACTAAGGCTGTATCATAATAGGGTGGCTTGAAAAAGGCTTAAACGATCCAAAGAACTACTTAAATAATCTCTTAAGTCAAATATAGT